CCCTGAATCCCTTCACTAAATATTACCCTGCTCACACTCCAACAGATCATCAGGTCCCAAGTATCATTCGTCTCCATTCACTCCTATCTAACACGCTCATGCACACTTGCTGGAAGTCCAAGCCCCTTGCCCACAAAACCTCCTTTACCCCCTCTTTCCAACCCTTTCAAGGACGACCCCTACCCCTCCTTCATTCCCCTATCGATTTATATGCTTTCCATGTCATTCTACTTTGATCCATTCTCTCTAAATGACCAAACCACCTCAACAACCCCTCTTCTGCCCTCTGACTAATGCTTTTAATAACTCCACACCTTCTCCTAATTTCCACACTCCGAATTTTCTGCATAATATTTACACCACACATTGCCCTTAGACAAGACATCTCCACTGCCTCCAACCGTCTCCTCGCTGCTGCATTTACCACCCAAGCTTCACATCCATATAAGAGTGTTGGTACTACTATACTTTCATACATTCCCTTCTTTGCCTCCATAGATAACATTTTTTGACTCCACATATACCTCAACACAAACCCCTCACCTTTTTTCCCTCATCAATTCTATGATTAACCTCATCCTTCATAAACCCATCCGCCGACACGTCAACTCCCAAGTATCTGAAAACATTCACTTCTTCCATACTCCTCCTCCCCAATTTGATATCCAATTTTTCTTTATCTAAATCATTTGATACCCTCATCACCTTACTCTTTTCTATGTTCACTTTCAACTTTCTACCTTTACACACATTCTCAAACTCATCCACTAACCTTTGCAATTTTTCTTTAGAATCTCCCATAAGCACAGTATCATCAGCAAAAAGTAACTGTGTCAGTTCCCATTTTGAATTCGATTCCCCATAATTTAATCCCACCCCTCTCTCGAGCACCCTAGCATTTACTTCTTTTACAACCCCATCTATAAATATATTAAACAACCATGGTGACATTACACATCCCTGTCTAAGACCTACTTTCACCGGGAAGTATTCTCCCTCTCTTCTACATACCCTAACCTGAGCCTCACTATCCTCATAAAAGCTCTTTACAGCATTTAGTAACTTACCACCTATTCCATATACTTGCAACATCTGCCACATTGCTCCTCTATCCACTGTCATATTCCTTTTCTAAATCCATAAATGCAATAAAAACTTCCCTACCTTTATCTAAATACTGTTCACATATATGCTTCAATGTAAACACTTGATCTACACATCCCCTACCCACTCTGAAGCCTCCCTGCTCATCCGCAATCCTACATTCTGTCTTACCTCTAATTCTTTCAATTATAACCCTACCGTATACTTTTCCTGGTATATTCAGTAAACTTATTCCTCTATAATTTTTACAATCTCTTTTGTCCCCTTTCCCTTTATATAAAGGGACTATACATGCTCTCTCCCAAATCCCTAGGTACCTTCCCCTCTTTCATACATTTATTAAACAAAAGTACCAACCACTCCAACACTATATCCCCCCTGCTTTTAACATTTCTGTCATGATCCCATCAGTTCCAACTGCTTTACCCCCTTTCATTCTACGTAATGCCTCACGTACCTCCACCACACTTACATTCTGCTCTTCTTCACTCCTAAAAGATGGTATACCTCCCTGGCCAGTGCATGAAATTACTGCCTCCCTTTCTTCCTCAACATTTAAAAGTTCCTCAAAATATTCTCGCCATTTACCTAATACCTCCCTCTTCCCATCTACTAACTCCCCTATTCTGTTTTTAACTGACAAATCCATACTTTCCCTAGGCTTTCTTAACTTGTTTAACTCACTCCAAAATTTTTTCTTATTTTCATTAAAATTTCTTGACAGTGCCTCTCCCACTCTTTCATCTGCTCTCCTTTTGCACTCTCTCACCACTCTCTTCACCTTTCTTTTACTCTCCATATACTCTGCTCTTCTTATAACACTTCTGCTTTGTAAAAACCTCTCGTAAGCTACCTTTTTCTCTTTTATCACACCCTTTACTTCATCATTCCACCAATCACTCCTCTTTCCTCCTGCCCCCACCCTCCTATAACCACAAACTTCTGCCCCACATTCTAATACTGCATTTTAAAACTATTCCAACCCTCTTCAACCCCCCCACTACTCATCTTTGCACTAGCCCACCTTTCTGCCAATAGTCGCTTATATCTCGCCCGAACTTCTCCTCCCTTAGTTTATACACTTTCACCTCCTTTACTTGTTGTTGCCACCTTCCTCTTTTCCCATCTACCTCTTACTCTAACTGTAGCTACAACTAAATAATGATCCGATATATCAGTTGCCCCTCTATAAACATGTACATCCTGGAGCCTACCCATCAACCTTTTATCCACCAATACATAATCTAACAAACTACTTTCATTACGTGCTACATCATACCTTGTATATTTATTTATCCTCTTTTTCATAAAATATGTATTACTTATTACAAATTTCTTTCTACACATAGCTCAATTAAAGGCTCCCCATTTACATTTACCCCTGGCACCCCAAATTTACCTACTACTCCCTCCATAACATTTTTACCCACTTTAGCACTGAAATCCCAACCACCATTACTCTCACACTTGATTCAAAACTCCCCACGCATTCACTCAACATTTCCCAGAATCTCTCTCTCTCTCCTCTACACTTCTCTCTTCTCCAGGTGCATACATGCTTACTATAACCCACTTTTCACATCCAATTTTTATTTTACTCCACATAATCCTTGAATTTATACATTTGTAGTCCCTCTTTTCCTGCCATAGCTTATCCTTCAACATTATTGCTACTCCTTCGTTAGCTCTAACTCTATTTGAAACCCCTGACCTAATCCCATTTATTCCTCTCCATTGAAACTCTCCCACCACCTGGTATACTCAGTAAACTTATTCCCTATAATTTTTACAATCTTTTTTGTCCCCCTTCCCTTTATATAAAGAAACTATACATGTTCTCTGCCAATCCCTATCTATCAAAATTCTGTTTATCCAGTTCAGAAACCATATTGCTTGTTTTAAACTAATCTTGATGCACTGATCAGAAATAAGAGCTTGGTTAGTCTCTAATCACTTGGGTTATTTTTTAAATTTTACAATCAACATTTTGGCTATTCAGGTTTGAAGAACCACATGATATATGTTACCTAACAATTAAAGGCATTGTGTTATGCACAGATATTTTGTGTGGTGCATACAATGATTAAAACTAATGTTTCTTAATGTAAATTCATTATATTATGATTTAAATAAAGAAAAACTGGATATCAAATTGGGGAGGAGGAGTATGGAAGAAGTGAATGTTTTCAAATACTTGGGAGTTGACGTGTCGGCGGATGGATTTATGAAGGATGAGGTTAATCATAGAATTGATGAGGGAAAAAAGGTGAGTGGTGCATTGAGGTATATGTGGAGCCAAAAAAATGTTATCTATGAAGGCAAAGAAGGGAATGTATGAAAGTATAGTAGTACCAACACTCTTATATGGGTGTGAAGCTTGGGTTGTGAATGTAGCAGCGAGGAGGCGGTTGGAGGCAGTGGAGATGTCCTGTCTAAGGGCAATGTGTGGTGTAAATATTATGCAGAAAATTCGGAGTGTGGAAATTAGGAGAAGGTGTGGAGTTAATAAAAGTATTAGTCAGAGGGCTGAAGAGGGGTTGTTGAGGTGGTTTGGTCATTTAGAGAGAATGGATCAAAGTAGAATGACATGGAGAGCATTTAAATCTGTAGAAGGAAGGCGGGGTAGGGGTCATCCTCGAAAAGGTTGGAAGGAAGGGGTAAGGGAGGTTTTGTGGGCGAGGGGCTTGGACTTCCAGCAGGTGCGCATGAGTGTGTTCGATAGGAGTGAATGGAGATGAATGGTATTTGGGACCTGATGGTCTGTTGGAGTGTGAGCAGGGTAATATTTAGTGAAGGGATTCAGGGAAACCGGTTATTTTTATATAGCAAGACTTGAGTCCTGGAAATGGGAAGTACAATGCCTGCACTCTAAAGGAGGGGTTCAGGGATATTAGTGGTTTGGAGGGATATGTTGTGTATCTTTATACATATATGCTTCTAAACTGTTGTGTTCTGAGCACCTCTGCAAAAACAGTGATTATGTGTGAGTGAGGTGAAAGTGTTGAATGATGATGAAAGTATTTTCTTTTTGAGGATTTTCTTTCTTTTTGGGTCATCCTTCCTCGGTGGGAGACGGCCGACTTGTTGAAAAAAAAAAATCTGTACAACAAAAATAACAGAAATTTCCACACAGTCGTACAAACATATTTACATGACAGTTTTCAGGATTTTTCACTTTGCTCAGTATTGCTCTCCCACACCAGTGTCTAGTAGTTAGCCATCAAATTTATCATCAGGTTTTCCTGATATCTCTTCTCCATGATGGCTATGTCTTGATGAATTTGTTTACCCTGGGATTTTATTTCACAGAAACTGTACGTTTTGGGAAACAAAGTTCAGATAGTTTTTAGCATCTCAAAATTAGTTAGAAAACATTTTTTAACGTGAAAAAAACCTTTTTTTTGGCCGGGATTATCAGACAGCTGAATGCATATTGTAAACAGTAGTAATATAAACTTTTGTACCTTCAAAAAAGGTTAATTAACTTAGCTATGTAATTCCTGGTAACTGACATTCTCTTCAAAAAGGGTTTTTAGGATAAAAAAAAGCTGTTTGAATAAACTTTGAAAACTTTTAAAATTTTTTTTTCCCAAACAAACAATACTTGCTTAAATAAAAAGATTTTCATTTTTTCCCAGGGGAGAATTACATATAATTTTTTTAATTCAAATTTTTTTTTTGCATGGGAAACCTAATTATGAAGATAGCCAAAAACAGTTACAAAAGCCCTTTTTTTTGGGTTTAAAACTTTCAGTTGCCCACCTCCCAAAAGGGTTAGGGTGACCCAAAGAAATAAAACATGTAAAATTGGTATTGACATCAAAATTTCCCCTCAATGTCAGCACTGTAATCCTTCTACCCCCCCTGGAAAATATTAAAAAAATCTTTAAAATTACATTTTGGTAGACGTTAAACCCAGGAATTTGGGCCTTTGTGGGTTTGGTCGAGACCCCCAAGCAGGGTGACCGGACACATATTATTAACCACTGACTGAAATTATGCACCATACACACTCCCCTAGTGCTCAGGGCTCGGGTACCTGTTTTAAGAGGGAAATTATTTTTCTAACAAATTTGGGGGAAGCCATTACCACATGGGGTTTGGAAATGCCCTATTAATATTTGCTAAGTGTATGACAAGCTTTGCTTTAAAAAGGGAAATTATGCTCTAAAAATAAAAGAAAATGCTGGTTTTGGGAATTTACTTTTTTGGGTGTGCGGAATAAGGGAAAATAAAATGCCCTAAAAAAATCCCCTTTTTTCAGTTTTTTTAGATATTTTCAGCCCAACCCCTTTTATAAAACAAAAATTTGAAATTTATGGGCAAATCACTTAAAAAAAATACAGCATACCCAATTAAAGGATTCTGACGATAGATGAAAAACGAGGGGAGAGTGGTGTCGCCCTAATGCAGAGCCTCCAGTTATGGAAGCTCCCCCTGGACCCCTTCAAGCCCGCCCAAATTCGGGTTGCCATCATAGAACCCTTTGGTATGTCACCCCTTTTAAAGTTTTTTTTTTAAAACCCAGTTTAAAGTTACTTTTTTATTAACACCCCACCCATCCCCCAAAAAAAGGAAAAGGTTTTTCCAACATACAAAAAAACACAAACTGTAAATATTCAATCCTATTTGTTAGCAGGTTTGGGCACCCACAGTTCAGATGACTCCCCAAAAACGGGCAATATCCCCACCCCTTCCTTCCTCCCCAGGCCCCCAAGGGTCCAGCTAACCAGTTTCCATGAATCACTTCAAAAAACATTACCTTGCTCATATTTCAATAGCTGTCAGATCAAAAAAATTATTTGCCTCCACTCACCCCTATCAAACCCCTACCCCCCCCCCACACAACCCCTGTTGGATGTTAAAGGGCCCCCAAGCACTTTAAATTTTCCCTCTCCCCCCCCCCCCCTTAAACCTTTCCTAGGAGACCCCTATGCCCCCTTCCCTTCCCATCCTAGACATTACTCCCCCCCCGTCATCTTTTTTTTCCCCATCCTCTCTAAAAGTCAAAAAACCACCTATCAACCCATCCTCAGCTTTTAAAATAATGCTTTTGGTCCCTTTCCCCACCTCCAAAATTTTTAAAAATTTCTAAAAAATCAAAAAAAATTTACAGGAGAGCTCGGGCTTGTACAGCTTTTAAAGTTTCTGAGCTACTGCGAAAAAATAAATATGGGATGTACAGTGAAAAAAAGGTGAAGAGGTGGGGGAGGAGGAAAAAAGGTGAGCAGATGTTTAAGAGGGGGAGGGGGCACTGTCAAAAAATTTTTAAATGAAAATAAAAAAAAATTTTGGAGTTAAACAAGTTAAAAAAAGCCTGGGGGAAAGAATGGATTTGTCAGTTAAAAACGAGTAGGGAGTTAGTAGATGGGGAATGGGTTTTGGGAAAAGAGGGCGGGAATTATTTGGGGAAATTTTTTAAAATGTCGATGAAGAAAGGGAGGGGGTAATTTCATGCACTGGCCAGGGGGGGTATCCCATCTTTTCAGGAGTAAAGAAGAGGGGGGATGTGAGTGTGTTGGAGGTGTGTGAGGCATTACGTGGGAATGGGGGGGGTTTAAAGCAGCGGAACTGAGGGGGATCATGAAAAAATTTTTAAAAACCCGGGGGGGGATATAGTGTTACAGGGTTTGGGTTTTTTTGTTTAATAAAGGGGAAAATGTTGAGTGAATGCGTGGGGATTTTTAAATCAAGTGTGAGAAAAAGGTGGTTGGGGATTTAAATGCTAAAGTGGGAAAAAAATGTTATGGAGGGAGTAGTGGGTTTAATTTGGGGTGCCAGGGGTAAATGTAAAATGGGGGGGCCTTTTAAATTGAGCTATTTTTGTAAAGAAATTTGGTAATAAGTAATACATTTTTGAAAAAGAGGTTAAATAAATAACAAGGTATGATGTAGCCCTAATGAAAGTAGTTTTTTTAGATTTGTATTGGGGATAAAAGGTTGAGGGGTAGGTCCAGGATGTACATGTTTATAGGGGGGCCCAATGTTATACCCAGTCATTATTTAGTTGTAGTTCAGTTGGGAAAAGAGGTGATAGGAAAAGAGGAAAGGTGGCAACCCAAAAAGTAAGAGGGGGTGAAAGTGTATAAACTAAGGGGGAGGAAAGTTGGGCGAGTAAAAGCGATTTTGGGCAGAAAGGTGGGCTAGTGAAAAAGGGGGGGAGTAGGGGGGGGGGTTAAAGAGGGTTGGAATAGTTTTAAAAATGCAGTTTTTGAATTTTGGGGCAGAATTTTGTGGTTATAGGGGGGGGGGGCAGGAGGAAGGAGGAGTGATTGGTGGAATGAGAAGTAAAGGGTGTGAAAAAAGGAAAAGGGTAGTTTCGAGAGGTTTTTACAAACCCAAGAAGGTTATAAGAAGAGCAGGTCCGGGACCCCCGGTTAACAATTTTTTTCTTTCCCAAAAAGGTATGTTCAGGTGCCGTACTGACCGAATTTGTTCCCATAAGGAAAAATTGTAAAGTAGATTAGTCCATTTAGCCCCCCAAACAAACACGTCCCAAACGCACTTCATAAAACACTTACTTTAAGGGGTTGGCATTGGGAGGTGTCGTTAACCGGGGGTCCCTTATATGGAGAGTAAAAAAAAAGGTAAAAAGAGAGTGGTGAGAGGGCAAAAGGAGAGCAGATAAAAAAGGGGTGGGAGAGGCCTGTCAAGAAATTTTAATGAAAATAAGAAAAAATTTTTTGGAGTGGTTAAACAAGTTAAGAAAAGCCTAGGGAAAGTATGGATTTGCCCTTTAAAAAAACAGAGTGGGGGGGGGAGTTAGTAGATGGGGAGAGGGGGGTATTAGGTAGATGGAAAGAATTTTTTGGGAGGAACTTTTAAATGTTGAGGAAAAAAAGGGGGGCGGAAATTTTTCATGCACGGGCCCCAGGGGGGGTATACCATTTTTTTAGGAGTGAAGAAGAGCAAAAGGGTAAGTGTGGTGGAGGTACTTTGGGGCATTCGTAGAATAAAAATGGGGTAAAGCAGCTGGAATGATGGGATCATGCCGGGAAATTTTAAAAAGCAGGGGGGGATATAGTGGGGAGGGGTTTGGGTATTTTTCGTTTAATAAATTTTGAAAGGGGGGAAGGTCCCTGGGGTTTGGGGGGGGAGAGCATGTATAGCCCCTTTATAAAAGGGAAAAAGGGGCCCCCAAAGAATTAAAATTAAAAAGGTTAAATAGAAAACCCTAAAGAAAAGGAAAAGTATAGGGCCCCAGGGGTTATAATTGAAAAAAATTAGGGGTTAAGACAGATGTAGAATTGGGGAAATGAGCAAGGAGGCTTCAGAGGGGGTGGGGGGATGTGGGGAAATAAGTTTTTACATTGAAGCATATATTGAACAGTATTTAGTTAAAGGTGGGGAAATTTTTTTATTGCTTTTTTTGGATTTAGAAAAGGATATGATGAGGGGGTAGAGGAGAAATGTGGCAGATGTTGCAATTTTATGAATAGGTGGTAATTTTACAAAAATGTGTAAAGGCTTTTATGAGGGGTGGGTTGGGGTAGGAGGGGGGTAGGAAAAGGGGGAAGGGAGGAATTTCCGGGGTTTTTTAAAAAATTTTTTTAAAGGTTTCTTTTGGGAAAAGGGGGGTGGGTTAAATTTTCAAAAAAAGGGGGTTGGGTTTTTTTTTAATATATGTTTATGGGGTTTTAAAAAGAAAAATTGCAAAGGTTGGGAGGGGTTTAAATTTGGGGAAAAATTAAAATGGGGAATTGAGGGGGGGTTACTTTTGTAAAAAATTGGATATTCTTTGGGGGGGACTAAAGGAAAAATTGCAAAGGGAATTTGGATTAGGGATGGATTTAGAAGGTAAAAGGGTTTTTTAGAATTGAAGGGAAAAAAAAGGTAGGGGGTTGAGGTAAAAATTTTTAGTAAAAAAAAGGGAAACAAAGGGGAAAGGAAAGTTTTAAAAAAAGAAAAATTTTTTCAGAACTTGGGGAAAAATTCCCCCCCCCCCCCCCCCCCCCCCAAATTTTATAAATATTTTAAATAAAGAATAAAAAATTAGGTCCGTTAGGTTTTAGTGGAGTCAAAAACTTACCCGGGGGGAAAAGGGGGGAAATGATGAAAGTATATTAGTAAAATCAAATTTGAAGCGGGTGGTTCCACCACCGGGGAGCCGGGGGAACAGGGGGCCTTTTAAACTTTTTTGGGGGTGAAAATTTTAACCCCAAAAAAAATTAGTTTGGGGAAATTAAATTTAAAGTTAATAAACTTTCGGGGGCAAAAAAGGGGTTTTTGGAGGGGTTTGGTCCAATTTAGAGAGATATAACCCCCAAAGTAAAATGCAATGGAAACCCATTTTAAATCTTTTGGGAACCCCCAAGAGGGGGTAGGTGGGTTCTTTCCCCCGAAAGGGGGGTTGGAGGGGGGGAAAAAGGAGGTTTTGTGGGCGGGGTTTTGGAAACCTTCCAGCAAGCGTCCCAATGAGCGTGTTAGATGGGAAAGTGAATGGAGACGAATGATACTTGGGGACCGGGGAGGGATCTGTTGGAGTGTGACCCGGGTTTAATTTTTTTAAGTAAAGGGGATTGGGAAAAAACCGGGTTTTATTTTTTATAGTCGGATTTTGGAGTCCGGGAAAATGGGAATTTACAATGCCTCCCATTTTAAAAAGGGGGGGTGGTTGGGATTTTGGCATTTTGGGAAAGGGTATGTTTTGTATTTTTTATACGTATATGCTTCTAAACTGTTGAATTCTGAGCACCTCTGAAAAAGCAGTGATAAGTGGGGAGTGTGGTGAAAGTGTTTTGAATGATGATGAAAGTTTTTTTTTTTCGGGATTTTTTTTTTTTTTGGGTCACCCTGCCTGGGGGGAGGACGACCAACTTTTTGAAAAAAAAAAAAAAAAAAAAAATTTGTAGGGAAAGAGGGAAACGAAACCTAGGGAGGGGCCCGAGCAACCCATGTATAATTCCTTCTATAAAGGGAAGGGGGACAAAAGAGATTGAAAAAAATTATAGGGGAAAATACTTTTTAATGAGTATACCAGGAAAAGTTTT